ATTCTTATTTCAGGCGTTTTCCTATCTTTGTGCCTTTTAAAAAACCCAACTTTTGGTTTTATTGAATCACTCTACTTTTTGGGAGAGGGGATAGTGGTTTCTATAAAGGAAGAGTAGAGGAAATTTGATTTGCTATCTGCTTTTACCATTATCATTTCCTTCCCATTACTTCCTTTACGTTTATTTTTGCTGCTGTATTTCTAGCTTCTTGGATTGTAAGCTTAGTTTATTTTCAGCCTTTCCTGTTTTCTAATAAATGCATTTAAGACTATAAATTTTCGTGACTACTGAAGATTTTAATATCAAGTGCTTTTTGTTGGTATTCAGTTTTAAAATAATTCTCAATTTCCACTTATTTCATGTTTAATCCATGAATATTTATGTGTGTAATTTAAATTCCACTGGTAAAGATAGGGTAGTGATACTTTATCTTTTTAATTTCCCATTTCTTGTATTTAATTTCTTTCAAGTTTAAAGAAATATTTGAGACATCCGATTTAGTCATTACATTATGAATCAGCCATATGTGTTTGAAAATAATATGTATTCGCATTTGGGTACAAAGTTCTTTATGACTCTAATTATTAAAAATGGAGTCTTAGGACCTAGAGGCAGAATAGAGAAAAGTAATAGCCTTCTCTAGTTACAACTAAAATTCAATCAGTGTGCGGGGGCTTTCATATAAGATTCCTGAGGGGACCCCTCAGCTACTCTGCCTGGTTACCCTACTATCCAGTGCTGCGGTAGTCTGAGAGGACGTATGAGAGGTTGCTAAATTCAGATGATTTTACAAGTAAGACCAAGTGACATAAATATAAAACTTTTTTTGAAAATAAACTTTCCTTCTACTGTGACTGAAGCTAGACTTTCAACCAGTGGCAGTCAGTGCCAACACTCAACAGTTCCATGTCATTATTGGTCAGCTAATCTGTGAAAAACTGAGTTCTGCATGTGGAAAGTGGCTTGAGGATATAAGTGAATAATGTCTGCAAAGGCAGTCTGTATGAAAATCCATGGATAAAATTTAGGGGCTATCTCTACTAAAAGTTAAAGCACAAAAATAAAAAAAAAATTAAATTAAAAAAAGAAACATACAAAATAGTTAAAGCACAAATCTTATGTTAAGGTCCTAATTAAGGATATGACACAGAGCTGGAAATAGGTGAAGCCAGTGAGGCACTTGCCTAGGTGAAAAATTTAAAGGGGCACCCAAAAAACTCAGTCATTAAGATAAATGATATTTTTAAAAATCAAAATTAATGCAAAAAATCCATTAAACAAAATGTCAAAATTTTAAATAGAGGCAGGATGTGACCCTGCACATCAATGATTCACCTCACCCTAATCCTGGTTATGATATGACACTTATGGTTATAGGAAGCCCAGGTGGTCAGATGATCCAGAAAACATAAGCAATATAAGGTCAAGGTTAAAATCCTGGGGTCTTAATATAATTCCAAGCTTGAATTCTGTGGCTGCGTGACTTTAGATAAGTTACTTAACTTACTACTTCAGTTTCTTCACATGTAGTAGAGATCTAAGAATAATATATCCCATAAGGTTTTTGGGTTTTGTGGGGGTTTTTTTGCAGCTGGCTGGTACAGGGATCTGAACCCCTGACCTTGGGGTTATAAGACTACAGGCTAACCAACTGAGTTAACCAGCCAACCCTCCATAAGGTTTTTGTAACAACTAAACAAGATAACTCAAAGTGCTCATGCCTGAGCACAGAGGCAGATCCAGGTTTTGTGGAGCCTGAAGCTTATAACTTGGGGTGCCCTCTTTAAGAAAAATAATAAAAGTTTAAGAAGACAAAATTGACATGGTAGTGAAAATTTATTTAGAATGAGAAAATAAATCACAAATAACCAATTTTTAAAAGCACAAACCCCAGAAAAATAAAACATTTTTATAAATTAATTGCTCCTATACATCCCTGTAATACTTTTTTCCCTACACTTTTTTGGCTACATTCTCTTTAACTGCCTTTTCATATGACAACAGTTTTATAATACTTCCTGTGGAAAGAACAGAAAAGATAGTTGTCTTTTCTCTAGCATGATTGATTTGTTTTATATCATTGATAGTTTAGAAAAGCATCTCTAAGCTTTACAACTCAATTGATAATGTGTCAATTCTTAAATTGGGGAAAATGTTCATCACGTGTTTTTCATATATGAGCTATAATATTTGCAAGATATTTCACAGACTAGCTTCCAGATCCATTCATTTCAAACATCATTTCATTTTCATTAGCCATGTACTTCTGGTCACCGGGCACCATAGGACACATTAGTATTGCAATACCAACTCTGACCCTGTACTTTTTTGTCGCAATACTAAGCTGGCCCAGTCAGTAGTAAGAATATTCCTGGAAACCATCCCTAAATGGGCATGGCTAGCAATAACTTAACAATATGTGGAAATGACTGTGAGCCACATAAAAATATCCCACTAAACCCAAACTAAATGTATCTCCAACTTAATTTACTCTTTGCTAGCTCTTGAAAATGGCCATGGCCACTCTGCCACCTGACAAAAGGGGATGTGTAACAGAAGGGTGGATGGAGAGCAGAGACAGTTGTCTGAACTAATATCAGTAAAAATATCTTACCTTTAGAAATATTACAAAAACATATGACCGAGTGAACACATTGCTACAGGACCCCCCCCCCCCCCACCCCTTCCCTTGGAAGAGACCCCATGTGAAGCTTAAGCTTCACTAGCTAAACAGTAAATTAACTTTGCTGACTGTTGGGAAAATAGAAGTTTGGTCAGGGCCCTTGCCTCGGGTCAGGTTGGGTGTGGTTCAGCATCCTTTGTAAGCAAACTCTGTGTGTGTGTGTGTGTGAGAGTTTTAGTGAAGAGAGAGAGAGAGGAGTTTCATTGAAGCAGGTGGGCGGGCGTCAGCGCAGACGCCTGGCGCAGCCATGCTTTCCAACCTATGGCTCCAAGGACCTTTTGGCCAGTTACCTAGCTCATAGAACTGTGTGAAGGGGTCTGGGGACCCAACCTGGCATGTGAAGGGTTTGTGATGCAGTCTGTGAATGGGCTTGAGAGGTCTGGGAGCTCCAGACCCAGGCCTCGCTCAACAATCGGCTCAGTCGGCAGGATTACCGGCAGGTAAAAGAGCCTGACAACTATAGTGGTCGTGTAGGTAGACAATTGGCATCACGAACAGTATTAAGAGCTTTACAATTGGCGATTTGAGCAAGATACCAGACATTAGCCCTAGCCTTAGCCGTGGCTCCACAGTACATTATACCTTGATAAAGCTGTTAAAAAATTGTATTTGAAAAGCAAGATCAGAGATTCAAATGTGAAAAGGCTGAAACATGGAAGTAGTATTTATGAACTAGCTCACATTGAGTAATTGTTTTGTCTCACCAAAAGTCCCATTCATTGTGGTAAAGTTTGTCGTGCACCAAAAAACTATGTGTGCTGGGTGGCTTTGTTGGCGAGGCATCCCCAGCAAGCCCCTTCTGTCTGCCGTGTCCAGAGGTTTTCTCGCAGCAGTTAGCTGACCCCGTCTTTGTAGCCAGATTTTGTGCTGCAAAATGGACCTCTCCTTCTCTTCTCCATTTCCCTCCCTCCTAATAAAACTCTTTTCTTTCATTTGGAGCAGTAGGTAATAGCAAAAGACTCAGGTAAAGTAATTTACCTTCCCATGTGAACTTAACATTTAAAGTGTCACCATTCGTCCAGGGAAACTGTATTTTGAAACACACATGCTAGTTAACTTATGTGAATCAGTCTTGAATGGCAATAAAGTTTTTACTATTATAGAAACTTACAATTCTTTCATTTTTCAATAAAGGAGATCATCAGGAGTGATTTGCCACTTGTTGCATTGTTTGCCAGTTTTGATTCATTAACTCAGGCCTCTTGCAGATTTAGCAAATAAAAATATGGGTTGCCCAGTTAAATTTGAATTTCACCCTGTACCAGACAGCCTTCCCCCCCACCAAAAAAATCGGAATTTCAGGTAAACAATAAGTATTGTTTTAGTGTAAGTATGTCCCAAATATTGCATGGATCACTTATTCTTTAAAAAATGAAATATCTGGGATATATTTCTACTAAAACATTACTTGTTTATCTGAAATTCAAATTAAATTGGACATCCTGTATTTTATCTAACAATTCTACTGTAAGCAAGCTGTGTAAACGTTTGGTTTAAGTTACTTTTAAATGGCTTCTGTTTGTTTACAAAAAGTCTCCAAGATAAAGCATTATCTTTACCAGTTGCTCCCAGTTGCTGGGAAGACTAAGTTCCAGTTCCTTAGCTCCTTCAGTTAAAAACGTGCATCATAAGAGAAGTCAGTTCTGATTCGGGAAAGATTTTCACAAAGATCTTGGGTTTGGGCCAGTAAATGGTGAACTACAATCCTTCAGCAGAGGTAGGCCTTGGGCGGACCGTCTCACTGACTCCGCGCTCACCAGTGAGCCAAGGGCCCAGGCCACCGCAGCCCTCAGCACAAGCCTCAGAGCCCACAGAGACGGGCAGACCTGGCGGACCCGCTTCCTTCTGTCTTTCCCGCTCGGTGGAGGAGACCAACTTCCAGAGAGACCCTGCCCCTCTCCAGATCCCGGATGCTTTTCCCTTGCCCCTCCCCGCTCCCGCCCCCGTGGAGGTGGAGAAGACTGCTCTCAGAGCACAAAGTGCCCGGAATCAACAGCCAGTTCTGAAATCAACAGCTCGCCAGGTGTGAGTCACCCGCTCTCGTTCATTCCAGAAGGGGCTTCTGCGGAAAGAGGAGAGGCGCCCCCCCGGAACCTAAGATGAGGAGGGCGGCTCACTGTTGTTCTCGCGCCCCCTCTCTCCTCTTTTTTGGTCGGAGGAAAGAAAACAGTCCCGCCTCCGGGTGTGTGCAAAGCCGAGAACTGGAAACAGGGACACCCCTCCTTTAGCCCGGCCCAGCCCGCGAGGCGCGGGAGGCGGGCAGGCGCGGGGCGGAGGCGCGGGTGGGCTGCGCCGACAGCGAGCGGCGGCTGCGAGCGCCCGGCTGCGCGGGGAGGATGCGCTGCTGACGCGTGCGGGAGCCCCGCGCCCGGGCTGGAAGATGCTCCTGAGGGGCCTCCGGCCGTGGCGCCCGCGGCTGCTGCTGACCTCCGGAACCCGGGCTCTAGCGCGTCCGAGGCCGCAGCCGCCCCAGGTAAGACCGGGTGCGGGGGCGACGGGGCGCCTGGGGGCAGGCGGGTGGAAAGTTTGCGTCGAGCAACTTTGGCGGGAGCGAAAGGCGAGCGGCCGGGCGGTTCACTGCGTTGTGCCGCTCCCTGCGCTCCACCCCGCCCCCAACTCCACGCGCGGGGAGGCCCCGACAGGTGGTGCCCGGGCCGCGGACGTGGCTCCCGGGGTCCAGGATGGGGGTCACGCCCCGTGGCCCAGGGAAGGAAAGGCCAGAGCGGCGCGCCGGGCGCATCACCTCGGCCCGGTCGGGATGCCGGGACCCCGGGGCTGCGGCCGGGGGCAGTAGAAGAACCCGCCGGCAGTGTCTTGACGGCCAAACTGCGGTCTGGAGTAAGTTTCCACAGCCGCTCGGAGGGGGCTTCAGGAAACGAGGGAGCGGGCAGTGACTGTCCCGAGGGCGTTCTGCCGTGGGAGAGGGAAATGCCCATCCTGAAAACCGCGAGCACCTCCCTTTTGAAGAGGGAAGAAAAACTCGCGTTTTGGTCGGAGCCCCGAGAGACGGGTGATTCATGAATGTGTGCTGGTGAGTAACAGCTGGCCTGACAGTTGTATTGAGGTCTGAGTAGAAACGTTGCTTGGAGGAGGAGGGAAGAGACGGGATGTGCGCTAAAAAAGACACAGGAAGAGAGGGGAAAGTGCTGAGTGAAACGAGGATCGTGATGCAGCCTGACAGGGGCCCGGAGCCCTCGCTCGGAGCCTGGTGAGGACAGACCGCCTTTCAAAAGAGCCTTCGGGGTGCGCGTGCTTGGGCGGGGAGTTGTTTCTGATTTTCAGTTTGTTTCTCCCTCACCGTTAGATTAGTTTTAGGTTGTTAAAGGGAAAAATATTTATTTTTTATCTTTTAGCTGTGCACTTTGAAAGAAAAGCAAAAAGTAAGCAATGAGATTCTCTTGGCACTTTCACTTCCTGTTTCTTTTGGGGGTTTTGTTGTGGTTACCCGACCCCCCCGACCCCTTTTTTCTCCCAACTGTCTCCGAACTTTAGAGTTTGGATTGATGCAGGAAATACTTAATTGCATTTTTAAAATGCCTTCCGTGAATGTTCGGAAGTGAATGAAGGCCATTTTGTTACTAATATGTAGAAAAAGGAGCAAACTCCTTACAAGGTAAAACGGTATCCTTAATAGAGTAATGGGCAAGATAGGCTTTTTCCACATTTTAAAATTGTATTTTTATAATAAGTGTTGCATTTTATAGTCAAAAATACACCAACTATTAAAGCAACCCAGTACAGGGAACCCCCTTCACCACACAACACAAATGATTGATTCCGTTTTCTCTTAAATCCATTTAACACTTTGAGCAGCATATTGACCTAACACTTTGAACAGGATCTCAGAACTGGCTGCTCTTTCTCAAATTATCAACTCCGAGCCCTTTTTCCGCATATCCCATCTGATGCTTTATAAGGTGGTGCCACTGAATGCTCTAGCAGGAATGTGGATGCCCTTTTAAAAGAAATAGAAAATGATAAAGTGAGGCTTTTTAGGCCTAATAATAGGGGAATAGTGTTTAGTACTTTACCTCTAGGTAATCATATTAAGAAGCCTTACATTTGACTGTTATAATTTGAAAATTTCTGTTTTAAGTCAAATGTCCATGCTACAAAGTCAAACTTTAGAAGTGGAAATGTTTCCATCATATTACCTATGTGATAAGAGACCCCGAAAGAATAAAGGCCAGCCTGTGAGTTTGCATTTTCATATGCAGCTTTGAACTCTTACCATAATGAAACTGATAGAAATATCCTGGTCCCTATGGTGTTTTAGCTAGGACTACTAAACCATTTTCTTCAAATCAAGTTACCTGGCTGTAGGGATATTTTTCATTGTGCTGCTCTTTTGTGGTTGTCCCAAACATTATTGATATGAGACATTATTTCTATATATTTTTGCCACAAACATTCAGACCCCTAGAGCCATATATAATATGAAAGCAGCTAGAACCAAAAGAGTGGTTTGTGACCTGAGAGCTCAAAAAATACTAGCTTGCAGGGAATTGTCATAAGTAGTATTTCAAATAAGAGTTCCCAATTAAAATTGGTCTTTTCTGAAATTAGTCATGTGTCTTATAGGAGTATTTAGTAACTTTAAGAAACATACAGTTCTCATCCTTAATATGGTAGGTGAGTAATTGCCATTGTTTTGTGGGTGGGAAAAAAAGTTTTGTTGACATAGATACGTTTAGTGTAGTAAAGTTGTTTTTTAGGGCCGGCCCAGTGGCGCACTGCTACAGTGCGCCGCTTGGGAGCATGGCGGCGCTCCCGCCGAGGGTTCGGATCCCACATACAGACCGGTTCCGCTCACTGGCTGAGCGAGGTGTGGGCGCAGCACCGAGGTTTGCGATCCCGTTGCCGGTCCCGGTCCGGTACGGGCGCGACACTGAGGAAAAAGACAAAAAGGAAAAAAAAAAGTTGTTTTTTAAAGAGCATATTTAGTGTGATGCATAAGAGAGCAAAACCATGTTGTATTACCTTGGCCAAGGCATGGCCTGGTGTTCATGGTCACGTCCCGGTAGCAGCATCTCTGCTTGTCGGCACTCTGGCTAAGTGGTTGTCAGGGCAATCTCTGGCTCCTGGTGGTGTTTCTGTACACAAGGACGCAGCTTTAAGTGATTATGGTGCCTGGCGAATTACATCTCAACAGAAAACCCTTGCCTAGTCGTGCCTTTCTTAATTTCGGTTTTCTGTTGCTTAGATTGAGAAACTCCTTGATATGATTTTGTGCCCCTAATACAGAATTTGAATCCCCACATAAACTATGTTTAAAACTTTTAAAAATCAAGTGTACATTGCGGAGAGGCTTAAGTATTGTGCTTTTTTTTTAAACATCTAGAAACAAATCATATGAATGTTTTAATCCACCACAAGACGATTATTAGAAGTTGTGGTTTTCATCTTTTAAATTTAATGAACATATTCTTGTTTGACACTTTCCTACTATTCTACCTCTTGTAATTGACACGTTGTGTTCTATAATACTGGTTTCAGAGTTCTTTCCTGAGGAGAGCAATTGGTTGTATGTTGGTGATTGTGTTTACACTATAGAAAAGACATTGATGCTTTGACCTCGAAAGTACTTCTAGATCAGTTTATCTATTAATCATTAAACATCACCACCTTTCTAGCACTTAGGTATTAATGCTTTTTTGTTTTTGATTTTACTTTTTATTTATTGTAATTAAATGATTTTACAGCAAACTTTAAGTTAGGAAATGATTTTGTATCTTGGCAGATAAATATTTGTTGAATGAGGTACCTATGAAACTAAATATTGGTTGATCTAACTGATATCTACTGTATAAACTGAATATGTTTAGGTCATAGAATAGAAAAGAGCAGCTTATTTAGTTGGTGTTAAGCAACTGGGACATCTGAGTGCCAACCTGAGCCTACCACCACTTAGCTCTGTGAACTTAGCCAAGTCATTCAGTCTATTAGGGCCTGTTTTGTCCCGTTTTCAAAACAAGGGGATTTGTTTAATTGGTGTTAAATAAATCCTTTCCATCTTTAAAATTGCCATGTTGGTATTTTACCAGGGGATGTAAATATACCACTGAACAAAGTATTGTGGATGTCAGAATGGTTGTCTTAATGATTGAAAATTTCTCTTTTACAGTTTTAGGCAGTCAGTAGAGTGGCAATTTTACCTAGTATTCGTAATAACCGTTTTCCCTTTTAAAGGAAATTGAAATTTATTTGATGGGCTTAGTATGTCAGAATAGATCGTCTCTCTCTCATACTTTATTCTGTATTACTAGTGTTTTCATCTGTGAAAGGTTCATCTGTGAAATACCTATTCAATAGTATCTAGCATGAGAACCCCCAAACCATTACATAATAGACATCTTAGGGAAACCCATAGGCTATAAACCATTATCTCAGCTATATTCTAGAAGAGTTTTTTTGATCTGATTTAATTTACCAGTACAAATTTTTCTTGATTTATTTTTTATTTCTATTTTTTCCTTGGTTTTAAAACAAATATCAGCTTCTCTGTTCTCTGAGCTATGTATTCAGACTTTGTGGCATGGGATCCCCCACCCAAATGTTTTTTTTTACTGAATTTTCCACATTGGCATGTTTTTTAAGAAACATAGTAGTCAGTTAAAAGGTGCCCTTTAAGAGGACCCATGGAAGAAACTGCTGTTCTAGTCTTAGTATTAGAATAGTTGGGTTTCTCCTGAGCAGATGTGGGGTTTATTATACAGACAGCGAAGTGTATAGCCATTGATGTTGTCTCTGTGCACTGGCTGCCAGAAAGCTTAAGATTAGATTTTCAACCCCCCTCTGCCAAATGTGAAAGACCTGTGACGTGTATTTATTGTACTCACAGTTTCATCTTCTGTAACTTCATTTTCCCCTACATTCATATCACATATCATCACTCATTTTTCTCCCCCCCCCCCACAAACAGGATTTTTTATTTGTCCCTATTAAAAGTCTGAATTTTAAACAGATTCTTGGACTGATGGTTCATATCCATCAGCTCGTTCAACTTTAGTGCCTGTTTAATCCCCAGTAGCTTTTCCAGAACTACTGTCTTCACCATGAGTTTCCCAATTCAAACTTGGGCTTCTTCAGCATTTTTACTTTAATAACAAAGACATCATGGACAGGATAAATAGATTAACAAGACTTTTCTATGTGTTTTCCAATGCTGTCCAGAATCAATTTATTGAATGCTTCTTTCAGGTCGTTTGTCTGCACGTCTTGTTTATGATTTCCCATTATCTTTTTCTGGATTTGGCAGACCTTTTGCTGCTGAGCACAAGAGGTCTTTGGTATCTGATGAGCTTTTTAGTAAAACCAGCGCAGAACAGAGGAAGCAAATAACCATAGGAAGTCCTGACATCAACATGAGGTTCAATTAAGGTCTGCCATTTTTTGACCATGGAACATATTTTGTCACAAGTAAGATCCATGTCATGGAAGTTAAGCAGTTTTTGCCCTGTACATCCTCAGTAA